CTTGTTGGGCGATGGCTTGATTCCGTGGAATTTCCACTACTTCACAGGAGATTTCGGCTTCGTTCCATAGGCACCAGATTCCGCCCCTCACCCTTTCCATGCCACTAGGAGGGAGGGCAATGGTCTTGGTGTTAGGAAAGCCCATGATTTGGTTCATGAACTGGGCCTTGCTTCCCTTTTTTTTTGTGTTTGTGATGATGACGAGGTGGGAGCGTCCGTTAGAATGTAGGTGCATGTAGTGTTGGAGGAAATTAAGGCAAGCGACGCCCTCAATGTTGAAGAAGAGGATGTTAAGCGGAATGTTGTAGGGGGTGTTTGGCTGAGCACTGCGGGAAGCGCTCTCTTCACCCATGTTGAGATCTGCAAAGCTCTCTATGTCCCACCCAAGTCCCAAATCTTCATTTGGATTTTCCAATGGTGTTGACATGGTGGAGATGTGGTGGTCTAGATCTCTCTCTGTTGGTCTTTGCGAGAGGATGTTGATACGGATCCTCTCAAAATGTGGGACTAACACTTGATTTGCCTAGCAGGTGGATCCCTGGAGAGTGAGATTGATTTCTTGGTTTAGCAAAAACCAAGTATGGGACAGTGGTATTGTGTGAAGTTTTGGAATGGTTAGTGCCTTGTACCATCCTCTTATTTTACCCCGGAATTCTTCCGGCACCTCTACGACTGTATGAGCAGATATTGGGTGTTGGATCCACGGGGATTCAAATAACTGATCTTGGAATTGCCATGGAGGCATGGAGAGCATCTTTCGAAAGAATTCACACACCGGGCGGCGGCAGTGAGTAGGAGTGGAGCTTGAAGCTCTGAGTTGGAACTTGAAGCTCTGTAGTTTGGACCTCTTGGGTTTGGAACCTTGTTCACCGACCGCCAAACGGTGTTATCACGGTGCCCCTCTCTTCCAGAAGCCATTTAGAGAGAATGGGTTGTTGAAGTTAAGAGAAGAGTGTTGGCGAGTGAATATGAATTTGCTTGCGTTTTTTTTTTTTTTTTTTTTTTTTTGTGTTGTTGACCTGCATTTGTGCTCTTATAAAGACGGGGTTGCATCGGAAAAAAGGGGGGTAAACTTACTGACTTTTGCAGCTTGTGTTGGGAAAGAGCGATCTATGGAGAGGACAACTCATCCATTGGAGTCATAGCTTTAGAGCAGACCATTAATGGCTACTGATTTGGAGCTGCTATGGTAGCGTGCAATATCTTTTTGGAGAGTCTAAGGTTGTTGCAGTCTGTTTTTAGTGTTTATAATAAGCAAAGAGCAACTTTTTGATTAGTTTAAGGATTTTTTCTTGGGAAGGCACAACCTCAGAATGTATATTAAATTCTTTTTTTTTAATTTTATTATTATTATTATTATTATTATTATTATTATTATTTTTGGAACTTCTCGTTCTGCTTGAACATTGCATTTTTGCCACATAAAAGATTGTGTATATTTTGGGTATAACTTGAACTTGTTCGAATCATTCCAATAGTGAGCTCGCCGTTTTGTAGAAATAAGGACTCTATATATATACAGATATATATATATATATATTTTGAATCAGGTAGGAGCTCTGTTTGCACCTTTTACCCATTGTACAGAAGGGTGTGTTATGGACTTGGTTACCCGTAGCTGGGTTTTCGTTTTTGTGTTTAGATTACTGTACCGTTAAAAAAAAAAAGTTCCATAGTCTCTCAAGTTGATTTATGGGTTTCTATACTCCCTCTCCTCCTCTTTCTAAAGTTGGTTGGCTGCCTAAGTTGTATTCAAGCTTTTAGAGAGAACCAGAGGTTGTCGTTGGTGGATCGCGAGAGTGGGGAGTGGTGCAGCAGTGGTGAGTCACACTGTCTCGAATTGAAGCAGATTGCGACATTGGAGGTTCGGTTTCTGGGTATAGGAGAGTGGCTAGATTTTTGTATTGTTTGTTTGAGGGTGGTCAATCAAACTTCGAAGTCGCGAAAGGGCAAGAGAGATGAGTCGGGAAGAGAGAGAAAGGAGGGAAGAAGAGTGCCGCGAGTCGCGGAAGTCGCCGTTAGGTGAGCCGTGGAGGTGCTGCGAGGCAATCGGTTGGGCTGTTAGATGTTGAGGTGATTCTGGGTTGGCTGCTCTGGTTGGGTTCTTACAAATCGCGAGTGTTTTTGGGTCTTGATTGAGGAATCTGTGCGTGGATCGTCGACAGAGAAGGGCTGGGGATTCGATTTGTTTGGTTCAGTGGAGGTGGGTTTGTAAGGGTTATTGCTATTGGTGGAGCTTGAGAGGGGTAATCGAACCAGGAAGGGAAAGAAAGAAGGGCCGCGAACACTTCCGGAGCTCGTCGCGATTGCTGCTGTAGGTTGTAAAGGTATGGGTCTGCTCATAGTTGATTTGAATTTTGTTTTCATATATAGATTCATATATATATATATATATAAGGTATTGTTTTGTGAAAAATAGAAGGCTGTTGAAAAGAGCCACGTAAAAAAATAAATAAAAAAATAAAAATATTTTTTTGTTATTTATTTATTTATTATTATTATTATTTTTTTTTTTTTTTTAGCATGAGGCAGATCAAGAAAAGAGGGTTGTGTTTTGGAGAATTGGAGAGGTCTATAATAAAATGTTAATTAGGTAAAGAGTGAAAAAGTTGGAAAGTTATTAATAACGAATATTGGAGAGGTGTATGCTTAGAAAATAAAAATAAACTAAATATCAGAGAGCTATTTGGCAAAATTTTAGGATTGTATTGAGAACTATGAGGTTTTATTTATTTTTATTATTTACAGGTTGTAAACAGAAAAGTTGAACCGAGGGAAGCCCACAAAAGGATTTGGAGAAGTATAAAAATAAGATAAATAAATAAAATAATGAAGGGGCTACTTTATTTTATTTTTATTTTAAAATGATGAGGTAATAGAGGGCTGTAAATAAAGGAGAGCTATGAAAGATGAAGCCCATGAAACAATTTCGGGAATTATAAGAAAATGAGGCGAGGGAGGCTCAAGATTTTTGTTTTGTTTTGTTTTTGTTTTTGTTTTTTTTTTTTTTTTTTAAAAAAAAGAATTTCGTGAAAGAAAGATGAAGCCAGGGAGGATCAGTGCGAGGGGAGTGGCGAGGGGAAGTAAAGATTAACGCGAGGGGTGGGGAGAGTTACGAGAGATGGGTTTGGTTATGCGAGGGAAAGGGGCTATCCCAAAATATGGGTTTTGTTATGCGAGGGAAAAGATTATCTCAAAATATGGATTTTGTTATGCGAGGGAAAGGAGTATCTAGTTTTTTTTTTTTTTTTTTTTTTTTTGCGAGAGAAATGAAGAGGAGCGCGAAGGGTGGAGGGGAGGTGCGAGGGATGGGTTTTGTTATGCGAGGGAAAGGGACTATCTTAAAATAGTGCCTTATGCGAGGGAAATGGGCTATCCCAAAATAGTGCCTTGGTCTCAGCGAGGGAAATAATTTTTTTTTTTGTTTTTTGACTTCGGTGGAAAAGGGTTAGAAAATTAGCGGGGGGATGAAGACATACTTGGAAGGCGAGGGAGAGGGAAATTGGAGCCAAAGGTGTACTTCATGCGAGGGACAGAGGCCTAGCAAGGGGAAGAGGCCTAACTCAATTTTATTTTATTTTATTTTTTTTTTAAACTTCGGTGGAAATAGTTAGAAAATTAGCGAGGGATAGAAACATACTTGGAAGGTGAGGGAGAGGGGAATTGGAGCAAAGGTGTAGTTCATGCGAGGGATAGAGGCCTAGCGAAGGGAAGAGGCCTAACTCAATTTTTTTTTTTTTTTTTTTTTTTTAAAAAAAAAAACTTCAGTGGAAATAGTTAGAAAATTAGTGAGGGATAGAAACATACCTAGAAGGCGAGGGAGAGGGGAATTGGAGCAAAGGTGTAGTTCATGCGAGGGATAGAGGCCTAGCGAGGGGAAGAGGCCTAACTCAATTTTTTTTTTATTTTTTTTTTTAACTTCGGTGGAAATAGTTAGAAAATTTGGATAGAAACATTTGTGGAAAGCGAGGGGGGGAGAGGGGAATTGGATCAAATGTGTAGTTCATGCGAGGGATAGAGGCCTAACGAGGGGGAGAGGCCTAACTCAATTTATTTATTTATTTATTTATTTATTTTTGGTAAAATGTACTTAGAGTAAAATGCACCTTAACAGTGAATGCCTTTTTTGATTTGTAAGTCTTGTGTTGATGCAGGAAAGGCGAGGTTTTGTGATATGGCTAAAGTAAAAAGGGGAAGTGTTGTTTCCCATCGTAGCACGCAACGGTCACTAACGGGTTCTTCTGGCATTTCCAAGTCAAAAGTGGGTAAATCCAAGAAAAATCTTTTTAAGGCCAAAAAGGACACGGATCCTCCAATCGTCCCTCCAGCGGAATATTGGTATAGGGCACCTTTCTTTGGTGCCATGGATTTGTTTTGGGCAAGGGTGGACTTATTTGATGACAATGGCGGGGACCCAACTGATTTTCTTCTTGGTGGGGTTGAGCCAGAGAAAGGGGTTGAAACTTTTGTTCCTCTAGAGTCTATTGTACGTTTTCATGTGGAGAGGGGCACTTATCCTTATTCTTTTCCGGCTTTTGAGGATTATACGGGGCTCAAAGATGACTTTGATATCTGGAGTGCAGCTATATTTCGCCATCCCTCATATTGTGAGGTGCTTACTGGAGCTAAGATTGCTATTGCTATTTCTTAGTGTATGCGGATTAGACAGGAGCCATATTGGCTAGAGTTCGCATTGTCACGTTGGAGTTCAAGCTCTCATACTTTTATTGCGCAGTGGGGTGAGACGACCCCTACTCTAGAGGATGCAGCTATCTTGACGGGGTTAGAGCACCTTGGATCAGCGAATCCTAGCGCAGGAAGTTTGTCCCTTAGCCAGATGGCTATTGATGGGAGATTGGAGGAGGCCGTGGCACCGGCAGGGAAGTTATTGAGTCGTTATCAAAATAAAGTGTTAGTAACACCTCGATCACGAAAACGGCCAAAAAACACTTTCGGGGGATGGCTTCGGTACTGGTTTCGAGATCTTAGCCATTAGGTGTAAGGAAATGCAGAGAACGGATTCATAGGTCCAGGGATGGAAGGGGACAAGTGGGGGAGTGTTGAGCATTTAGCTGCTTTCATTACATATTGGCTGTCACGGTACGTCTTGATGGGTAGATCTCAAGACGGTATTTTCCATGAGCTCTTTCCTCTTGGTGCGATTCTTGCTTCCAGCCGTCCGATTCCTTTGGCTCCTTTATTTCTGGGGGGCCTATATAGGAGGTTAGATATGTATCAGGAGGGTGTTGATCGTTCCAAAGGACGATATGATGTTACTAGCTTCCTCCCTACTACCTTTCTACAGTTGTTTTTGTATGAGAGATTTCCTAGCTTGGCCTCTATGCCAAAGGTGTTTTCCATTAAAGAAAGTGAGCCGCGTTCTGCTAGGTGGGCTGAGGGATGTGTACAGGGGAGTTTGGCCAGCATTTTTGATTTTGAGGACAAGTTTGTTGCTCGTCCTTATGTCATGCCAATTTGTGGAGTATCTTCTACCATTGCCTACCGCCTAGATGATTGCGAGCTTGTTCTTGAGCCAGGTGTGTCTTATTTGGGGGATGCGGATTCAGTGATGGTTCTTAGCACCGTTTCTGGGTATTTACCTTATTTTGTGGATGGCACATATGGTATGGTGGCCTATAATCCTTTGAGAGCTGCTCGACAGTTTGGTTTGGACCAAAGGGTTCCTCAACATCTTCCTTCCCCTGTACCTTCGGCTGCCGACTGCATGCAATTATATGTATACTCTTTTCTTTCAGAAGAATTAAGGCGTCGGGGGCGAGTTGTGCTAGCAAGTAAGGGTAGAATTGGAGAAACCACCCTTAGCTGGAGGAAGTATTGGAGATGCAATCTTGCATTATTTTGGACTTTCTTGAGTAGTGATCTTGATCCTGTCCATGTTGAGCTCATTCCGTCTGATGACCCTGAGTTATGTATGGCTCGCGGAGAGCGGGGCTTGTCAGCTGCAGATAGGGGGGAATTCAGCCCACTGGCTCGCTTATCTAAGGTGACTATTGCTTTGGAACAAACCCAGATAGTTTCTCCTGACCGTCCTTCTAGTGCCAAGCGTAAAAGGTCACCCCCTTCCTCCATTCTTGTTCCAATGCCTGGGAGAGTACCTCCAAAGATGGGAGGTATAGATCCGCCTACTAAAACCAGGGTTGCCCGCCAAGCGAGGGGTTGCTTGACTGACACCATTGATTCGTCACAGGTAAACTCATATTTTGTATTTTGGAATTATTTGTGAGTTTGTGGCGTTTCCAATACGTTTGTATTAAAATACCTGTATTGTTTGCAGGGGTCGGCTGGCGCGTGTCAGTTAAAATTGGCGCGGCATAAAGTCTTGCCCATAGGTGTTGAGGACGTTGTAAAAAATTCAGAGGATGATGAAGAGGGTTCGGATCAAAGTCTTGAGATTATGGGGGAAAGGGATGATGTTGAAGACAATGTTGAAGACGATATTGGATGTGACATGGTTAGTGCTAGGCCTTCTTTGTTGGATACACCAAATTCTAGGGATGCATTGGTTCCTATGCAGGCCAAGATTGGAGGTGGTGTCCCTACTGCTCGCTTGTTTGAAGGTGGTTGTAATTTTTCACATAGCGATGTGCTTAGCTCACGAGTTGGAGGTGCGAGTACATCCGCTAGCTTGTCATGTGGCATTAGCTCTTCTGCGCTCATTTCTTTACATGCTTTTATGACCTCTGCGAGTCTAGAGAGTAATGTGCCTACCATTCCTTCGAGCTCTGAAGTTGGAGTCGACTCGCCTATTGTTTCAACTGGTTCAGACTTGGGTGGTATGCTCGTACGCGAGTTGTTTGGCTTTATTCAGAAGGGTGCTAGTGATATTGGGAGTAGCCTTCAAAAGCCGTCACTACCAGCTATTAATGGAGATTATTCCCTCATCCATGCTACTGATGGAGATTTTTCTCCTATTCATCTTCCCCGTGGCAGTGTGGTTTTTAAAGGGATCGATGGGAAGGAAAAGCTACTGGATCCAGCTGTGTTGTTTGCCGGGGTTAAAGCAGAGTTAATTCCTCGACTACTCTTTGTTCTTCATTATAAACCCACCATTTTCGTGCACTTGGGTAGCTCTTATTATCTTCGGACTTATTTTTTGGATGGTTTTGGAGAATTCCTTAAGGAGCTTTACAAGTTATCCCCGGAGACAGCTTCTTTTGATGAGGTGTTGGCCCAACGTGCTGTTTTGGGTGAATTTCGAGATGGTCAGATTAACAGATTGGAGGTGGGTTGGTTGGATGATTGGTTATCTCTTCTTGAATCCCGGGTCAGGAGAAGGATGATTAAGGCTGAGCTAGGCGAAGTAGATAAGGCTTTGGTTGTTGCTGTGCGAGTGGAGGAGGAATGTAAGCTATCTTTTGAGCGAGCACAGAAAGCTTTGAATGAAGCAGAATTGGCGACTTCTAGCTTGAGAGAAAAGAAAGCGATTCTTGAAGCAAGATTGGCGGGTGAAGAAGAAGAAGATCAAGCTTCCAGAGTCTTGATTTAGTTGGATCATAGCTTTGTAGCATATGATAGCTTTATAGCCTAAAACTTTTTTGTATGTTGGAGATTTAGGCCTCCCTTTCTTTTTTGTAATTGAAAATCTTCAACTACTTAATGGAGCTAACTTTATAGTTAGAGCGTCATCTTTTATTATTTGTGATTATAGTTAGAATAAATGTGGAAAAGGGCGATATTCATTGAAGAAGCCCAAATGGGCACAATACATCTTGGTGTAGTACATCATATAACAATGAGTAATTTCTAAGGATAGTAAGCCTTTAACCATTTCGCATTGATAGGGCTCAAGCGGGTTTGAGAGTCAGGCTCAGAAATTCTGTAATACCCATTTTCATTGACTTCCCTTACTACAAAAGGACCCTGCCACTTAGGTGTGAACTTATGGGTTGATGTTCCCCTCATGACGCGAGGTGCAGCCCGTAACACTAAATCACCTTCTTGGAACTGTCTTGGGCGTACCAGAGTATCATAACCTCTAGCTATACGGCTCTGGTAAACTCTAAGATTAGTCTGGGCTTTGTCCCTTCTTTCATCAAGGGCTTCCAGCTCTGACGGTCTAGAGTATAGGCTAGTTCCACTTCGGAGGGCCATACGAGCTGAGGGTATGGCAATTTCCACTAGGAGGACGGCTTCCGTGCCATATACCAACGAAAATGGGGTCATTTGAGTTGGTCTTCTTTTGGATGTTCTATATGCCCAGAGTGCCAATGGAAGCACATGTGCCCAGTCCCTTTGATAATCCTTGAGAGCCCTTGAAAGGATTCTAAGGAGTGTTTTGTTTGTTGCTTTAGCTTGTCCATTCCCCTGGGGATAGTAAGGCGTTGATTTATGGTGTGTGATGTCGTAGGAGACTAAGAGTTCCGTAACGGGTGGCGGTAACTACCACAACCGTTACGTAACGGCGTTACGTAACGGTTGCGGCCGCTTTTTAAAACCATGCGTAGGAGACTAAGAGTTGCCCCACTTGGCCGTTGACAAAAGGAGTACCATTATCCGAGAGGATTACTCTAGGTACACCAAAACGACATATAATGAATTCTCGAATGAAATTAGAGACAGCGGCTCCTATTGCCTTCTTCAAGGGGATGGCTTCTACCCACTTTGTGTAAGTCTCCATGGCCGCTACAATCCATATGTGTCCCTTTGACGGTGGAGAGATGGGGCCAATAAGAACCATAGCCCACGTGTGAAAAGGCCATGGTGAGCTTGAACTATGCAGGTCGGTGGGTGGTGCGTGAATAAGGTTTCCATGGAGTTGACAAGGTTTGCAGCGTTTGGCATACATTTTGGCATCTGCTTCCATGGTAGGCCAATAATAACCTATATGCAGAAGATGCTGGAATAGCTTGGCTCCACCTTAGTGCTCCGTCCCGTGAGCAAGTTCTAAAACTTTTTGGATTTCTGCTCCCGATAAGCAACGTAAAGGCTTCCCATCAAAGCCATGCCGAAAAAGCTGTCCTTCCTGCAAAAAGAATTTCGAAGCTCGCTTCTTGATTATTGTAGTTGCAGAGCGGTCTGGCGGCAATGATGCTTCTTTGAGATAATCTATATACACCTGACGCCAGTCAGAGGTGATTTCTATGAAATTACATTCAGCTTTTGGAGGGAATTCCTGGCATTTGGTGCACTTTCCTTGAAGGTCGTTTGCTTCTTTGGCCATGGTAGGCCAATAATATCCTTGTCATTGTAGCCTCCTATAGAGGCTTACGTCTCCTGTTCCGCAAGAACGATTGTGAACCCCTTCTAGCTTAGACTTGGCTTCGGTAAGATCGATGCAACGTGCTAGCAGACCCCCAGGCCCTCTGTAGTAGAGGACTCCTTGGTAAATCGTGAAGTGTTTGATTTCGCACAAAGGTAGTTTACCTGAGGGGGCACGGAGCTCGTTGATGATTGGGGCTCTCCAGTCGGCGGGTTCTTTTTCGGGAAAGATAGTTGTTATCGAGCACAGCATAGAGCGCTTCAGAACTTCTATCTTAGTTGATTCTTCTGCGAATTCTACCTTAGAAGCCAAGGTAGCAAGGGCGTCTGGGTGTCGATTGCTGGAGCGAGGAGCATGTTCTATCTTTACTGTGTCAAATTTGTCTGTCAACCTTTGGACAATGGTTCTGTATGAGGCCAAAGGGGACTCTTTGATAGCATGGTCTCCATTGGTCTGCTTGACCACCAGATTAGAGTCGCCTTTGATACATAGGAGACTTACTCCTAGGTGGAGTACTGCCATGAGTCCTCATATTAGGGCTTCGTATTCCGCCTCGTTGTTAGAGCACTTAAAATCCAGTTTATACGACAAATTGACTTCAGTTTGATTTGAGGAAATAAGGACTATTCCAACTCCTCCCCCTTTAGAGGTAGACGATCCGTCGAAGCTCAAACTCCATTCTCCTTCGGTGTTTACTTCAGCTGCTTGGAACTCATCTCCTGGCAATTCATCCGAGGGCGGCTCATGTTCTCCACTGGGGAAGTGAGCCAAGAGGTCTGCGAGCGCTTGACTCTTGATGGCCTTGGGAGCTTTGCAAGTAATGTCATATTCTGCTAAAGATAGGAGCCAACGGGCTAGCCTGCCGGATAGCGCTGGTCTAGTGAGGAGAAATCGGATAGGATCACTTCTAGTCATGAGATGGATGGGGTAAGAAAGAAGGTAATGGCGGAGCTTTCTGGCAGCAAACACTAGGGCGAGGCAGTGCCGTTCAATGGGGGAATATCGGATCTCAGCCCCTTGGATGACTCTGCTTATGTAGTATACGGGTCGTTCAAGTCCGTCAATTTCCTGGGCGAGCAGAGCTCCGACTGATTTCGGTGTGGAAGTAATGTAGAGGAGTAAGGGCCTTGCCGATTGAGGAGTCATGGAGAGAGAGGATGTTAAAGATGACTTCACTCCTTCGAATGCTTGTTGGTGTTCCTCATTCCAAATGAACCTGACATCCTTCTTTAGTAATGAATTGAAAGGTTGTGTTATTTCGGCCATAGCTGGGATAAACCGTCTCAAGTAAGATGCCCGACCAAGGAAGGTTCTCAACTCGTCTAGACTGGTTGGTCGTAGCATATTTTTGATGGCGGCGACCTTTGCCGGTCGGGGTCTATCCCATGGCGATGAACGATGCAGCCAAGGAACTTGCCGGCAATGACTTCGAATACGCATTTAAGCAGGTTCGGCCTTGCCGATTGAGGAGGAGTCATGGAGATAGAGGATGTTAAAGATGACTTCACTCCTTCGAATGCTTGTTGGTGTTCCTCATTCCAAATGAACCTGACATCCTTATTTAGTAATGAATTGAAAGGTTGTGTTATTTCGGCCATAGCTGGGATAAACCGTCTCAAGTAAGATGCTCGACCAAGGAAGGTTCTCAACTCGTCTAGACTGGTTGGTCGTAGCATATTTTTGATGGCGGCGACCTTTGCCGGTCGGGGTCTATCCCATGGCGATGAACGATGCAGCCAAGGAACTTGCCGGCAATGACTTCGAATACGCATTTAAGCAGGTTCATTCTGAGTCTGTATTTCTTACAATGTTCAAAGACTCTTTGGAGGTCTTTGAGGTGACTAGTCTCCTCTTTGGATTTCACTACCAAATCATCAATGTAACATTCCAAGGACTTGTGCAACATATCGTGAAAAATGGCTGTCATAGCTCTCTGGTATGTTGCTCCCGCGTTTTTCAACCCAAAAGGCATTACAGTATAGAAAAAGTTACCTATAGGAGTGCGAAATGCCGTCTTTGGGGCATCCTCTGGAGCCATCTTGATCTGGTTGTAACCGTTGAAGCCATCCATGAATGAGAACATATGGTGCCCCGCCGCTGAATCAATCAAGGTATCTATGTTTGGAAGTGGGAACTCATCTTTGGGGCAAGATTTGTTTAGATCTCTGAAATCGATGCATACTCGAATTTGACCATTCTTTTTGATAATTGGGATGATACTAGAAAGCCAGGTGAGATGTTGGATGGGTTTGATAAACCCTGCTCTAAGCAGCTTTACCATTTCGTCCTTGATGTTGAGCTCCACCTCGGGCTTATAAAATCTTACCCCTTGTTTGACTGGGCGAGCCAAGGGGATGACGTTCAAACGGTGCATGGTAACATCTTTGTCTAATCCTGGCGTTTCTTCATATGTCCAAGCGAAAACGTCCGAGTACTTCTTGATCAACTCGATGAGGGGCCCCCTTTGTTCTGCTGGAAGATCTTTGCAAATGAAGATAGGACGCCTGGGTTCCCCTTCAAGGGCTATGTTGATTTCTTCTAGTTCTTGCTTTTGGAGCCAAGGGCCGTCTTGTAAACACTCCGGAGCAGGTCGAACATCTTGCAATTCATCTTGCTTTAGGATTGCAACTGAGTTGGCGGGGACTTGGTTAGGAGATGAAATGGTTGCCTTGGCAAGGGGTTTAACTTTTGAGCCTTCGGCTCCATCCAAAGGAGTTATCGCAGGACAATAGGATCTGTCAAAGTGTTTATCTGTTGCTGGAAAAGCCGTGACTTTTTTTCTCCTTCTACTCTTCTTGTCTCTACTTTTTTTATTCTTTTCCATTGGCGGGCGTTGGGTCAGCGCAGACAAGGTGTAGCAACAATGATCTTCTCCACTTAGTTCACGATGGGCGATTGCTATGTCGTCTAGCTGGGGGTCGGCATTGGTAACATTTGCCAACCCCTCGCACCGTCATAAATGGGATACCACTCTGCCATCTTTTGTTTGAAACCTGGTGACTTTAGGGAGGTTTCTTGAAGGCTCTGTTTGGTGAATGTCTTTCTGCGAGGTGGTAATGAATCTTCTTCAGAGAGGTCGTCCCAGTTGGGTATAGGAGTTCCTCGAAGTGGCAGGGGAGGTTCATCTTCATCGACATGATTGTTAAATACCGCATCTGCCATATGAGCTTCATCTACTCGAAAAGGCTTTTGAGAGCCAGCTATGGCTACTACCTCATTGTTGTAGATTGCTTTGACACATAGATGGTTGGTGGACGGAATCACAGCATATCTGTGAAGCCAAGTTCTCCCTAGGAGAGCCTGATAGGTCGTCTCTGCTTCTATAACATGGAACTTAGTAGTGGAACGAATTGGTCCCACTGCTAAGTCTAACTGGACATGACCTATGGTTTTAATTTTTTGGCTTCCAAAACCGGTGATGGAGATGGGTTGTCTGACTAAGTGCTTTGGTGGGATCCCGGCTGCCTGGAAAGTAGAATAAGGCATTACATTGAGTGAAGCTCCTTCATCCATGAATCCTCTTTGAAACTCCATCCCATTGATGAATACTGGGACGTAGAGGGGACGATTATGTGGAAACAGTACTTGTTTGTCAGCCTCAGTAAAGGTTATTGCCAAGGAGTTGTCCCAAAATACTTTCCTTACTGATCCGCTTACACTCATGCATGTTTCACCGTTTTGCTCCGCAAGTCTTAAAAAGGCCTTGGTGGCTTCAAAGCGTGTTGCTTCAGACAGGCCGAATTGGTCAAAGAACCATTTGAACTTTGTCGATTTCTTAAGCACTATCACACGCTTGGTCTCGAAGTCGGGACAAGTGGGAGCTGCGGGTTCAAAGAACTCGCACACCATTGGCTCTTCCATCTCGTCATAATGCGACAGCATCATGACCATCTTGCCATTATCCTTGTGGCGCGGGAGGGGATCTTTCAAGACATCTTCTGTTTGGCGGGGTAGCTCCAAAGCATCGTCAGACATCATTTTTCGAACTAGGGATCTGAGTGCCCAACATTCCGTAGTAGGATGTTTAACGGAACGGTGGTATATGTAATAGTCTGCTTGCGCTTGATCCTTTTTGGTGACAGGTCGCCTTAGCTCGGGGAGGTGAACTTTTTCATCTTTTACCCAAGCGTTGAGAAGTGCTTGTGCCTCGTCCACTGATATAGGTAACGGCGGGGGAATTTGATCAAACTTTCTCTTTTTTGCCTGGGAGTCTCCTTTTCCTCTAAAGGGGCCATCAGCTGCATATGCAGCATGATTGCGTCGGTTAGGCCTCCATGAAAAAGGTTGATGTGCCGTTGGTCGCCACGAGTGGGGTTGTGGTGTTGTCATTCGTGTCCCTGATCTTACTGTTTCACTTATGTTTCGGGCCGCAGCACATAAAGCGGAAAAGTCAAGGAAGTGGTGGTTAACCAACTGGAGTTTATAAGTCATGAGCATTCCTTCAATGCACAATGACACCAGTTGGTGTTCTTCCATTGGGTTTTGAATATCTACTGCTTTTTCCCTAAAACGACAGACGTAAACTAGGATGTCCTCCCCAAGTCGTTGTGTTTCCCTCATAAGATGAAGGGTGGTTTACCTTTCTTCAACATAGAAGAGCTTGATGTAAAACTTTTTTACCAAGTCTTCCCATGAGGAAATAGAGCCAGCAACGAGGGTAGCATACCACGAGAATGCTCGATCTATGAGGGATTTGGAGAATTCCCTCATGCGGAGGTTTCGATCCTCTCGGTGAGCTCCAAGGGCGTCAAGAACGCGTGAAACATGCTCCCTGGCATTCCCTTTTTGTCTGTCGAAGCGAACAAACTTGGGTACTGTATATCCCGCCGGATATGGAAGACTTGCAATGTGAATAGGGTAAGGGGGCGGAGGTCCAATTCTGGGGAGGTAAGGATGTGACCTTTGTTTGTCTGAAGTAGACTGTGTATGTGTTCTCTTACTATTTCCAATGTTAATGGCTGAGAAGGGTTCTGATCCACCGGGAGAGCTGGAGAGCTAGTCGAAGTCACTGCGGTGGGAGCTCCGCCAATGGATCCAACTTGCAGTGGAGGTATTTGGCTGGGAGCTGACAGAGGGAGCGGGGCGACTGTTTGTTCTCCCACCTGGGTTCGCAAGTTGTTTTGTTTAGCGAGGTTGGCTTCCGAGCCATTCTGGGCTAATGGCGGAACGCCATTTTGTGATGTTGAAAGAGGGTTAGATGATGATGGAAGTGTAGGTGCCCTTTGTAAGGCTAGTAAGGCATCCATTAAGAGTTGTTGGTTCTGTTGAAGAGATGTGACGCTCTCAGTCAACGCACGTAGTTGATCCGTTATGACCGGTTGGGAAGATTGTTCTTCTGGAGAGCCGTCGGAGTTGCGTTCCGAGGTCTCTGCCAGGGTCTCCCTACCGCCACCTTGGGATGTTGCTATTCCAGTGTTCTTTTTGGGTGCCATGTGAAGCGAGCACCACTCTTCCCCAACAAAGTATAATGTGGGTGAGAGGTGTGGTTAGAGGTAGTCCGGGAAGATGGCGGGCACTTCAATGGCTCGGGATCACCAGAGGTGGAGAGGAGGAGATCAAGGCAAGCTTGGAGATGGAGAGGTTGGCAGTGATAGACCTTGAACACTAATGTAAAGTGAAAGAGGGTGTTTAAGCATGAGATTTGGTTGTATTGTTGTTGTTGTGTTTCGCTGCATATACGATACGTTATATAGGCCACAAGAGTATTGGAGCCCAAGCAAACTATTGGACAGGTGGCTCGTTCTCCTCAACTCTGCCAGAAGTGATATAAGCCCTTCTGTCGTCTATGGCTTGACGGCAGGCGGAGAACAACGTTTCATGATAGGCAAAAAGTAACATTTCGTTATGCATTGGATGACATGAACGTAAGGTCATTGTTGCCTTTCCCCTGGCTCTCTTAAACACTAAGGTGGGCCCTGGCCCATTTATCTACTTGGATGCCTGGGTTGGGAGCAGGACCCAGGCACTACTGCTCAGGATCATCAGAGGATACTAGACTAGCGGCTGAGGTCATGGGATCGTTGAGATGGTTGTCTTCTTCCTAAGACAACTCCATCTCGGCCAGGCTTGGAGAAGAGGCAACAATAACCTTACGTTCATGTCATCTGATGCATATACGAAACTTCAGGGCCATGGTGCTGCCTATTGCAGGGCTCTTCATATCTAGATATATTTGGGCTTGTATATATACTCCCGCTTAGGCTAAGCATATAGTTTTGGTTGCCTTGGCACATGGCACCCATAAGGCTCGCCATGTATCAAACATACGACATGCCCGACGTAGTGCCTTATTGGTCTGCCATGTGGGCGGGGTTTTGGTGATGTGGCACCTGTAGGACTTGCCACGTATTGAGCTTGATACAAGTACCCACAAATGTTCATACTCAAGTTCAGGCCCAAATTGAAAAGTCTAATGCCAAATACGAATCGGCCGTTGATGTGCATAAACGAAAAATGTTGTTTGAAATGGGGGATCTTGTGTGGGTTATGTTGAGCAAAGAATGGTATCCTCATTGTGCATACACCAAGTCAATGGTAGGAAGGTGGATCCTTATGAAGTGTTGCACAAAGTCAACAACAATGCTTATCAAGTCAAATTGCCGCCTCAATACCTTTAATGTGCAACACCTTGTGCATTATTTGCCGGATGATTCTTGTGTCAACACCACTTCTCTCATTGTAGATTTTCTTTGTGGAATTTGTTTGTATTGTATATTTTTTAGTTTTGGTTTCACTTCTAGTGCATTAGTTGTGTTTTGTTTTTTGGTTGTGTTTTGTTTGTCTTCACTTGAGGACAGGTGTTTTTGAGTGGGAGAGCATGATGTAGGATATCATGTGCATATCAAGTGATAGTTAGTGGAGGAAAAATTGTATCCTATATCTAGAAGAGGACTAACCACTTTGTAACTAACTTTTAGATATTGAATATTGATTGATTGAGATATTTCTGTCTCTTAACTCTCTCTGTCTCTAAATTCTCTCTCATTCTTGATTGGGCTCATCATCACAAAGCCTTCGAAGAACTTTGTTGTATATACACTAGAATGCACCGTCAATGCTGCCTTGCCTGGTGTTTGGCTGGGAAAGCCATCTGATGCTAAAGTCAGTGAACGGAGAAAAGAGAAGGTAAGAGCACGAAAATGTAGAAAATTAAACCGACTTCCCTAGAGCCTCCGATACCTCAGTTGAGATAGGAATGGGTTCTTAGACCCTGGGGGGATGGAGTGACAAATGTTTTAAGAATTCAAGAGAACACGGCAAGACGGAGCTGTTTGTCATTAAGAGTTTGGAGTGTGTATCCTTGATAGAGGATGAGGTCTACCTTTTAATATAGATTTTTGTTCATAGAAATTTGAAACATTGAGATTCATGTACAAGAAGATGTGACATACTTGGTTAAGTTAAGCTTGCTAGAGTAGATATTAAATTATGTCTAACACAAGCAAAATTCTTGAAATTAACAAACCCAACAGTGGATAGTAAGTGTAGAGCTACATTGGAAAGGATTTACATAATATACTTAAAAAGAGATACTGTGTGTAAATAAATCTACCAACAATATTATTATTCTCCATCTTCGGTAATACCTTCCAAAACAAGATATTGAAGAGCTATGGAGTATTTTGCGGTTCTCATCCTCTGTGACAAGGCGCTTCCAGAATAGATGTTGTTCTTAAGAAGAAACGACCCAGAGCCATCACCTTCCACACAAAGAACTCAATGTTATCATCTTTAGATGATTAAAAGGAGAAAAGACAATCAATGGCCATAGCTGTTAGACATAACAAACTACCAATACAGAAAGGATTAAGTGAAAAATAAAGAAGACCCGTAGCAACCTTTAATTGTATAAATGGAAGAGATCCATCTCTTGTAAATAAAGAGCAACCTTGGAGAGTCGCCATGGTGTGTATCAGAGAGTAGAACCTTGCATGGCCCGGTTTCACTATTTGCCTTTCCCCTGGCTCTCTTAAACACTAAGGTGGGCCCTGGCCCATTTGATTGCAATTGTAGAATTAATAGTTACTCACTTAGCATGAATTATGGCATTGTGACAGAGTGCTAGAATTCGAACCATTGCTAAATCTCTTCCACGAGGATTATTGTATCTCTGTTGGCAGTTTCTTCAAGCAATGGAAACAAACAGATTGAAATAATCGGGACACAAGTTCTTGAAAGAATTCATACACAGCGCTGATTAACTAGTCAGGTAGAATAACAACACACGCGGGTAGATGCACGCAAGTTCACATGGAATTCTAGGATAAGAAACAGAATACCTCTCATCAAACAAATCTCCGAAATCGTCGATAATTACTGTGTGAGGAAATTTATCATGCAGGTGGAATGCAGCAAAGAACTTGTTGATCCCTTCATCATCATCCACGTATCTTTTAACATAAAGATGATTATATTTCAATGAGTGGCACAATAATCATGATAATAACATCAACTATTATATACTGTAATTGGCAAGGAATTAGGGGAAAGTAAGAAGAAAAGTGCGAAACTTACTTCATCTGAATACGGTGAAATATATCAGAAGATGGATCAATGCCCTGCAAATTAACATCAAAAGCGGAGTTGAAAAAGAATACCTCTCTCTCACATAACATAATTCCCTTAACGAAAATTGGAGGTGGGTGTGGAGGGAGGGAGGGAGGGGGAGGTATACCTGAGAGAGATAAGGGGGTTTGCTTTCTAACCTGCGCCGATTGCAAAGGAAGACAACCTTACCGTTGTTAGACACAGAAGAGTGGGTCTCCAATGCGGAGTTGAAAGCGAATTGGAAGAGCAGAGAGGTCTTCCCACTGCATTTGCAAGAATCGCCCCATTTTCACTCAGATTTTCAAGGAGTAAGCACAACACCATTACAACAGTATGTGTATATACATACATATATATATATATATAGAGAGAGAGAGAGAGAGAGAGAGAGAGAGAGAGAGAGATTACGATGAAGGCGGGCCAGAAAGAAGCAAGATTGGAGCAGATTGGGAATGATGCAAATCGGTTTGGGGCGCGGAGAAGAACCTCTCCACCATGTTGGTGCTCTGCTCTGGTGGTGATCGGAGTAACACGAAAAAAAAAAGAAAAAGAAAAAGAAAATGTAACCAAAGAAAAAGAAAAAGAAAATGTAATCAATGAGAGAGAAGGGTCAAGGGGTGAGGGAAAAGGGGGATGAATTATTGTTGCAAAAAAAATATGGAATTGCAAAATCACCGTCCCCTCCGCTTTCTCTTGCTTGGAAAAACGCTATTTTCGTTATTTTAATAATTTTTTAATTTTTTATAAAAATATATAAAAAATAATATGAAAATTTATAATAACTTCTTAATTAAAATATAGGATAAATTACAAATATATCTTATGAGATTTATTTAAAATATGAATTACCTTCTGTAGTTTGAAAATTTATAAATACCTTATTTTTAGAATTTTTTATTTAACAGAACTAATTGAAAAAGTAAAATTTTTAACTGTTCACTTATACAATAATAAAATTATCTGAATTATTAATTGAATTAAAATTTTAACATTATTAAAAATTATTAATTAACTTAATAATTTAATAAATTTTAAGAGATGTGATTATAATTTATCCTATGATTTCCAAACGAGGTCAACTCACTGACTGAGAGGGGAGATAATTGGGCTGGACCTTGTAGTGTCGGAGTCCCCAATAATTGGACTATACACTACTGGACTATAAAACAGGGACCCCAAACACCTGCAGATATATAGGCGCCGTTTGAAAGTTGGTTATTTTAGTAAATTATTTTAATTTTTGATTATTTTTATAAGTTAAAATTTTTATATTTAGAAAAATGGTTAGATTTTTTATAATTAGATGTGATGTTTGTAAGAAAAAAAAGTGAAATAATTATAAATTTGAAAATTTGATGTAACATTTTATCTAATTATTTTAACTTATTTTATCTTTTTTGTAAATTTTAACCTTAAAAAAAAAAAAATCCACTTTCCAAATAGGGCCATAGTGCCATGTAATGTACCCTTTGCTATATTTGGAGTGAGGAATATATATATATATATATTAATTTGGAATAACATAGATAATGCTCCAAGAATATCTAATAATTATTCCAAGTTTGGAAGTTCGTGAGTCCCTCTGCATATTGCTAAAGCTTTCAAGTTGAAATTAATTACTTATTTATTTTCATTGAGAGAATACCCCATGGAAGGATTGATTTGGAGATGATAATATATTTTTTTCCACTATATTTAATTCAGTTGAGATAATTTTTTTACCATGTCTCCTTCAATGCCTACTACAGCATCCATCTTTGGTGAAGTGCACATTTTCTTCTACATTTTGACGAAAATTACAGATGTATAGAAAATGTTTGTTGCTTTGGGACACATTCTGAGCCCCCGCGCGCGCGCGAGCCCCCGCACACACACACACACACACACATAAGTAAGGCAAATTAACTTGTTCCATTCTATCTAGTTGTTGTGAACTCCAATTTTGATTTTAAGATAATCCGAGAACAAGTACAAATAAATTTTTTGTATTGCTAAAAAGCGCCTACCTGAGGCTCAACTAGCTTATGGATTAACGTGCTAGATCATAATCTGGAGTGGAGATGCAGAAAAGGAATAACAATAAAGTTTTAGCGTTTTAAGGTGTAGACAAGCATTGATTTTGATTAAGGTGTTTGAGCTGTTGCATGTTTATCACTATTTTTTCAGGATACTATGCTGAAATACATTGTTTGATTTGATTTTTTTTTTTTTTTTGGACCTCAGGTTCTTTCAAGGAAATTAACAACTTCTAACACAGCAACATCTTGCATCTGCTAAAGCAGTTCATGATATAAGTGGATTGACCCACAAAATCTACCCTTTACCCAATAAGAAAATAGTGATGGTAACTGATAATGGATCGAACATTCAATCTGTTGAAAAAATGACAAAAATAATCTTTCATTTCTCAAAATCTTTACAAAATTCTTCTATTTCAAAGTTCCATAGCTTGGACAAACCCAACAAACAAACAATCAAAAGAATGCACTTCTCAATTTCAAAGATCAACAACCGCTTCTACTCGACAAACTTTACTTACAACCTCAATCTGGATTCATCAGGGTGCGCTGATCAGTAGATCAGAATACTTCTGGTAGGGGCTTGCCTTCCAAAAATGCCTTGAATAGCACGAGTGATCTCTCAGGTTGAGAGAAAGGAGCCTCATGAGATGCCCCTCTAATGGTGGCAAAGGAAAGGATATCACCATAGACTTGAGTCCACCCACCAACCTGAAAAAATAAGTTGAAGTTTTAAAACTTTTTTTTTTATCTTTTTTTTTTTCTTTCAATATTTGAGACCTAAGAAGAAAGAAAGCTCCCCTCATCTAGTTAAAGAAAACTATTGTGCTTAGTTTCTTTTATTGGTATTAACAGCTACTCTAGGAGAAATGTTTTCATTCATATTGTCTTTCTTGACATGGAAATCTAAAGAAATATGGAAATAAATTAAGTCCAATTGGATTTGAACCTATACCAATGGTTTAGAAGATGGTTTTAGTTTCCCAGAATGTATCTGAGCTTTTGGCCTATTTCTTCTTTTGATGATCGATTCAACCTTTGATCAAAATGATATACCTTGGTTACGTTTGATCTCTTTAACTAGTTTAGGGGAAAGCAACATAAATAGGCACTCAACATTTTAGTTTTCTTTACTTTTCTCTGAGTTCATAAACAACTGTGTAAAGTATAACAAATTGCATGCATTTCATGCGTCTCATTATAAACAAGAATCACCTGCATCCCTGCAAACCAAACTCTATATGGAACTGTTGTTTTCAGTCCTAATTCTTCTGCCAATCCACGAACCAATGTTCGACTTCCAGTCAATGGGACAACAGAATCTTGATCTCCACTGTGATTTAAACCAAGTACAAAGTCAATTAAAATAATATACAAAGAATATTAAGCCTAAATTTGATATGGCCATGGAGACTTTGGAGGTTGGAGGCAATACCTGTAAACCAAGACGGGGATTCCAGCCTTGATGAGTTTTCCCACAATAGAGATTGTTGGGATCTCCAGGTCAAGAAACTCATAATCCAAGACACTGTTATCCAAGGATTAAAATATATATATTATGAGTGATTTGACCAAACAGAAGACCATAAAACTAGAAATAAATTGACATTTGTACTAAAACAAGAAATAAATAGATGAAGTTATATACAATGATTTCTGAAGGAAATGATTTTTTGAAATCCTATTTGAGTTAAATTTTTTAAGACAACTCAAGAAAACTTCTAAACTCCGTGTTTTTTTTTTTTTTTTTTTTTTAAAAAAAAAATTTACTACACAATCAAGGTAAAACTAAACTCAGTGATAGCATGATTGTTTTGTTATTCAAACTTTACACCAAACAATTGAAAATTGCATTCCTTAAATTGTTGATCGACACAAGTGCTTAGATAGTTTATAATGTTTCGAATTTAATACCAACTGTCAACATAAGACTTGTTGATTATGATGTTTATGGAAGATAATTACTTGCTGCAAACAAGCCACCGGTTTACTCCAACAAGGTGAGCATGGAGAGCATTCTGAACATCTCTCCTGTTTAAGTAACTTACAGTTTCATCTTCCACACATACATCTACTGTCTCTGTAACTTGCTGCGCAATAAAAACCAACCAAAATGCATCAAAAACTACAAATTAGATCCCCGAAGTAATGGTGGATATACATATAACTTGAATTTGATCGAACTCACTTGGGGACTAAGGACTTTGGATTGAGAGAGCACAGATGATATACAGACATCAAGGGTAACATCATACTTATCAACAAATCTGCTAGTTTCTCTGCTTACTAGGCTCATCACTTTTGAACAAGTTGGAGATACCGAGCCTCTATAGTACTCGCTCACATAGCGAGAATAGTTACAAGTGGAAGTGAAGAATTTGTAGGTCAAATCCGATATCAATCCATGAGACCAGAAAAACTCAGCCCTTGAGTTAAAGTCAGTTGCAAATTCCAAAACTGGATTACCCAACTGCAATCAATGTTTTAAAAAAACCGAAATTTAGAGCAAGTGAAAATCAAATTGAAGAAAATTTGGGTTTTTTTCAATGTAAAGTTGAGATTTGTCTCGCTCACAGCAATTCCTTTCAAGTTGAACAACTTGTCCTTCTTGTTGAATTGCAGCATAAGCTCTGCTAGTTGAGGAACATAGTGGCCTGTTTGGAAGCAGAGAAAAGTAAGTATCAGTCCTCAACTCTTAATCTTGATTGTCTTCCAGTTGGAAAAAATTGTTTTGAGTGAAAAGAAATTACCAGCATAGCTTTCTCCTGTAATGAACAAACTTGTGTTTCTATATTGTGGGAATTTGACAAACCATTTGTGCAAGAAAATTAGATTGTCCCTGGCTATAATAACAAAAAAGGACAGACAATTAGATTTGAAGTTCTAAAATTCCAAGGCAGTGTATAAAGTGGGACTTTTTTCAACCCCCAAAAAGAAAAGCAAAAACAGTAAACATAAAAATGACCAAAAAGTGAAAAGTTTACATAGTATTCAGTACTAAACCATTATAGGATTCTTTATACTAAACAATGAAAAGTGTAAAAGAAGAAGAACAAGTTAGACTGCATTTTGAGCATAGAAAGAAGATAAATGTTTTTAGAAAACAATTTCAAGAAAATTCAAGAAAGTTGGGAAAATGTGGGTTAAATTGGAGAGACATGCCTGTGATCTTGTCATTTACAGCCACATAGGAGGAAGAATCAGATGAGTAAGAGAAGCCAACTCCAATTGGTGTCTCCAAATACAACATATTTGCTTCTGCGATCAACAAGCACACAATCACATGAAATCAATTCTTAGAAGCCAAGAAATCATCAATATAACTTATAAGGGTATATATAAAGTATAGTATAGTACCTCTGTTCCAGCTATATTCATTCCTGACCAGTGCCTTCCCACTAGGCCTAAACGGTCCATTTTCAGAGAATGCCCCAACCCCCAATGAAGAACAACCAGGCCCTACCACCAAAATCAAAATCAAAATCAAAATTTTTAAAAATTAAAATTAAAACTAAATACCCATAATGTGGGTGTGTGTGAGGAAGTGGGAAGTTGAAGTACCTCCATTTAACCAGAGAACAAGAGGCTTGGAAGCCGGATCTGATTCAGCTTCAACAAAGTAGTAGAACAGAGCTTTCTGTTTCTTGACATCAACGGTCACATAACCAGAAAATTGCTGGTAACTGACTTGGGGCTGACCAGGTAGTTGATGAATTCTGTCCAATGCAGAGAGGGAAGATGAAGAAGAAGACTCTACTGCTTCCATGGAAAGGGTAATTAGCTGTAACAAAGCAACGGCCAATGCCGTGGTTTTCCATTGTAAAGATGGCATGACTTGGGTCGGGTCGGGTCTGTCCAGAAGAGAGGAAAGAAGCTTCAGAGAGAGAGAGAGAGAGAGAGAGTTATAGCTGGGATGTTGCTCATAGTTTGGGGGGCATTATATATAGAGAGAGAGTGCTGTTTTGGGTCGTCGCTGGATACTTTTGTCGTATCCGAGACTCCTCTGAATGAAAGACATGTGAGAAGACTCATCATGGCCCGAATGAATTGTGAAAATGTAAATATTATTTGGGAGGATCGGCTTATTTAAAAGACTACATTTATTTGGATTATATTATTATTTTTTATTTTTTTTATAAAAACTAAAAAATATAAACCTTGTTTGGTTTGTGTTTCGGAAAAAATTTTAGAAAAAATTTTTTACAAATAAATTTTCAAAATTAATCAAATCAAACAAATTTTTCTAAATTTTTTTTTCAAAACTTGTTTGATTTACAAATTTTTCAAACAAATCTTTCTCTCATATACATCAAATCAATCACTTTTTCTAAAACTTTCTCTGAAAATAATTTTTCAAAACATCTTTTGAAAAAAATTAAACCAAACAAATTTTCGTACTTTTTATCTCAAAATATGTTTCTCAAATACAAACTAAACAAGGCCAAATTTATTTAAATGATTCTAAATAACAAATTTTACTAAAATATGTTGTATAATAATTAAAATTTAAAAATTATAAGTTAAAACATGATCTTTTTTAAAGAAATGACAAGTGATGAATAAACACGTGATATGAACCTAATTTGCAAATTTGATTGTTGGGCTTAGGTTTACCAGCTTAGCTCAGCTCGATCTAACAAATTATTTTAACAAACTTGACAAATCTATAACTTAGGTCAAGTTTGGCTAATCTAAAAAAGTACACTTATTTTATCTTTTTATCTTTTTTGGGTCACATCAATTAACATTTTCTCTCTACTTTTTTTACACATAATACAAAAAAAGTCAAAAAATACACTTATTTAGTCTTCCTAAACTTGGCCTTAGTAGCATTAAATAGTTAACTTTGTACAATAACTTAGCGTTGTTTTGAGAAATTTGTTAAAAATTAATTTTTTTGATTTTTTTTAATTAGTTTTAAAAAAATATATAAAAAAGTAGAGAAATAATATAATTCAAAATAAGTTAAAAGTTGAAAGATGAATTTTAATCATTTTTCCAAAAGTGACCTTAAGGTTATTTTGAAAAGTAAGTTAAAAGTTAATTTTTTGACTTTTTTTTTAAAAAAATATATAAAAAAAATAGAAAAGTGATGTAACTTAACATCTAGTTTAGTATGACTTGAGAGATTGAGCCATATTAGCCTTTGTGCTGAGGCAACAACCTTGATTTCCTTCGCTTATCTGGAGCATTGCCCAGGAATGGAAGGCGAGTGATGTTTACACAACCACCATGAACTCAACTTGCCGAATTAGATTGACGGACCTATTTTTAACAGGTCAACCCAAAAGATTCATTGACCTATGGATTGGGCAGCTTGACGGTTTTCGTCAACCTTAAGGTCAGACAACTTAGTGGATGGGTCGATCATTAGGTCATGCACATTCTCATCAGATCACTATTCTACGTATTGTAGCCAATCAACCCCCTAGTTGGTTCGAGAGTTCTTGAAACCAACAAGTGGTAGGGGTGGGACATGTGTCAAGATCTAGGATAGTTCTCCATGTGTATGAACTCGAGATTCCATATGATGAGCTCCCATTAGGCAAAGCTTAACGAAACCATTTTTTTCACATAAAGAGATTTTTTAAAAAAAATTAGCGTTATATATGATAGAGTCACCTTATGCAGAAGGTAAGTAAATCCATCATGTTAGTGCTGATTTCTGACTACACTGTCAAACAGGTACTCAACTAGAGAATACCGGCAGAATAGATTGAGCTCAAACAACTTGTCACAGAATAATAAGACTCTGGTGGTGGTTCGTCCACCCGGGGGCACTTCGACGATCAAGTCAGTACTCAATTATCTTTCAAAGATAGCAAGCAGTTCTTAACTCACTAGCCAGAATACAAAAAGTGTACCTTAGATCCGCGAGGGTGCCTTGTTTTTGTAGCCAGCACTCACTTGATCCCTATAGAAGCCTAGCTTCTCTTGGACTCTGGCTCAATACTTATCTTGGACTCTCAAATAGATAGAGACAAACTCCCCAAGAGCTTTATCTTTATCCAGACTGAGGTCCTCTCCCATTCTAGGACTCTTGTCCCTTATCCGTTCATCTCGGATTTCGATATCTCCGTAGATAACCTCAGCCTAACCAAGATCACCTCGGCACCATGCCCAAGACACGTGGCACCTCGGCTAGCACTTCGGTGCCACCTTGGCCACGTGTTGTCATTCACAAAAATATGCCCCCACAACTGCCCCCTAAGTTCTATTACCTCGGCATCCTAAGGTGATGGAACCTACATCGTTTGTCCATATAGTACGTCAGCTAAGACTTACTCTATCCTTTTATGACCGAAATCATCACACATCAACTTCACCTGACCAAGACTCTACAGTCTACTTTATTAATGACCAAAAACCAAGAAGCGAGTTCTTTAAGTTCCTTAACCGAGATCATCCTTGTAGCCGAGGTTCTCGTTCAATTAAATCAAGAATTCCAAGAGTTCTATCTGCGCATGAGTTGTCATGCACAGTTTCTCAACCGTTTTTGCCACACGTCTTTTCCTCATTGATCAGTACCTGACACGCGCCATCACGTCGCATCGCTTCTGCGTGCCCCTGACAGGCACATCGTCCAAGGCACATTCATTGTGATTTTGCCACCTTTTCGTGTTTTAACAAAAACACTTTCTCTTTATGTCTCTTCACTTTTGCCTTCCTCACTTTCCCTCTGAGTTCAAGTTTTATCTCTCTCTAAACAAGAAACCACCATTGTCGTTTTCTCAAAGCTTTCTGTAACTATTTCCGTTCTTCCCCTCCGGCGAAGCATTCACCGTTCTGCTCTACGTACCATTATCGTCTGACTCCGGCGTACCTCACACCGGCGTCATTCGTTTTGGTAAGTCACCATTTCCCCTCTTTTTAATTTTTGATTTACTTCAAACTTTGTTACGCTTGTTTGTTTGTTATTTTGCTTTTGTCCAATCTTTTTTTGGGTATATGCACACACATACTGCTCACACATTTGTTATTTTGCCACTATCCTTGGCTTTCACATTTGCACACACTTTGTACAGTGTTCTAGAAATTCTATTTGTTTTCTTGAGTCTGAATCATTGTTCTTTTCTGTTTTCCTTGCTTTATTTCCAGATTCTTGCATTTGATTGCGTAGATTTAGGTTTGGGTTTTGATCTTAGAACTCTGTTCTTTAGGAAAACCAAACCAAAAACTCCTTTAAATTCTCAGAAGCCTTCACCCCAGTGCTCTCTAGGGTTTAGCCGACGTCTTCAAACCAATACCAATCACCTTTTTTTGAAATCTTGTGCTAACTTCATTAGATTGACATTATGGGTATGTTTAGGTGGATGATAGACACCCCGACCAAACTTGAGTACTTTAGAACAGAGTTTTCCATCCCAGCCGACGCCCACCTTAGGCTGGCAGGAGAGGAGGACTCCATCATGCCTGATGGGGACTCTATGCCTTTCTCCATAGTGGCCTTCATAGAGTGTGGACTTAGGTTCCCTCTCAACATCCTTTTCCAACAAGTCCTTCATTATTACAAACTTAACCCAATGCAGCTGGCTATTAACTCTTACAGAGTCATTAACGGTACAATTGTCTTAGCTAGCAGAGAAAACACTAGGATAACAATAACTGACATCCAGTACTGCTATACCATGTGTGGCCTGAAATCCGAAAAAGACTACATCTATTACCTTAAGCCGAGATCCACTGAGTACAAACTTATAGCCGATCTCCCAAACTCTAATAAAGGTGCTGGAGATAATTATTTTATCGTCTCGGGCAACTGAGAGTTCTCACTTGATGATGACCTCCACGTCAACCCTCTGAGCCGAACAGTCTTTAAAGAGGGTAATGGTAAGAACCAAATGTCACTTCACCAGTTTTCAAGGCTTTATTACTTTGTTTCTTTTATATGTTCTAATGTCTATTTTTTGCACTTGCAGCTTTTCCTCAGCCACCAAAAGACTTCCGCAAAACCTTCTACCCCAGCAAAGATTTTAAAAAGCTGATGGGCTTGCCAGTTGATCAGTGCAAGGCCCCTCTGCTACTCAACTACATCCCAACTTACAAATATGCCCTGCCCGACGTCCCCAAAAAAAGCAAGTCTCCACCTTCAACAACAACTCCTTCTATTACTTCATCACTATGGCCTGACCAAGCCTCAACCTCTGATCCAGAAGAACATTGTCACGATCCAAACCCGCCTCTATGGGTTTAGTACCGTAACCGGCCAGTAATCCGAGATTACCGAAGGCCTACTTAACAGTAATACAGTAATACAGAGTACAGGGGCTGGCGAAAGCCAAAACAGTAAATAGACAATGTCCAATGAGCTGTGACATTTTGTATGCAAAAAGACTTTTCATATGGATTTATATTCAGAAACAAAACAGTATGTACAATATATACAATCATTCAAGACAGGGACTTAATCCCTATTAGAACAGTACAATACAGTAACATTCAGTCTATACAGATCATAAACAAAAAGGAGAAATCTAAAACTCTCCAAGCAGCCTTAGCTTGAACAGATCAGGAACCTCGAAGTGAGGCACAAAGGTTGGCTTGACAAAACAAGAGTTTACCCTGACGCTTCTAGCAACGATCCGGTGCCTGTACACCTACATATATGCATGAGCAGTAAGTTAAAGCCCAGTGAATAACATAATGCGTAAAGAGGTTAAGAATGAATGTCCTTTCAGTATTGAAAACAGTTAATTGATTTAGTATATCAGTCATTCAGTCATAACAGTCATATGTGGTATATCCATTAGCAGAACAGTACAGTAAACAGTAGGTCTTGAAAGACCGAACAGTCAATGATGGCCATCATATCAGTAAACAGTAATGGTTCCAACATAGGAACCGACAGAGATCTCTGTAACAATAGTAGTAACAGTAACAGTAGTTACTAAGGATGCCACAATACAGTTCAGAATAGAGGACAAGCATTCATTCAATTAACAGTAAA